ATGACCACCCGAACGGACAACCCTCACGCGCGCACGCGAATGGCAACAAACGGGGCGGCCGGCGACAACATCACACCCCGCACATAAAACACATTTCGAAATATTCGACCGTTGGACACGACGCCCGACGAAGTGCAGAAGGAGAACCCCGCCGCTCCGACGTCTGTTGCACCCAAAGCGGGACCCCCGGCCGTGTACGCGCGAACGGTAACACCAGAAGGCCGTTGGTGACCTCCCGCCGGTAGCAACCCGATAGTGTCCGCCCGATGGACCACGGACGTCATGTGCACCAGCGAAAATCGAAACTTCCCGTCACGACGCACGCTCGACGACGGCCCGTCTATCGAGGATCCTTGAGCCCAAGGGACCTCTCGAGGACCCCTTGAATCCAAGAACGCAATGGTTGGGGATTCCGAGGGACCCAAGGAAATCTCTTGGGAGCGTTTTCACTTTTTTTCAAGGATTTTTGTTTTTTAGGACGCGGTGTAACCATAACTGTGGACATTCCTGAGGATTTTCAAGGAGGGTCTAACGAGGCCCATATTGCTGGCCTGTTGCTCTTTCGACTCAAAATTGACGACTGTCTCTGGTGGGACATGGGAGTCCTGCCGATTCTCGGCTGGGGGCGAACGCAACGGGCTTTTTAGTACCCGTTTCCCCTGCGCCACCCTCCATCAGGCTGCGAAGGCCGGTACCCCGCGAACGCCCTGCAGACGCAAACGGGTACGCGCGGGCTTTTCATTTTTTTTTTAACAGAAAAAAAAAAAAAAAAAAAGGAATGCATGGGGTGGTACCCGACAACGGGCACTACCACCCCACACCTTTGGAAAACCCCTACCCCCCCACAAACGCGCGGAACTTGGGTTCACGGACCCCGTTTATTCGAGTCCAACGCGCGTTTTAACAGGGATTGAATGCGAATTCAACGCGCGTTCAATTTTTCAACACGGAACCCGCGTTGAATCCAGTTTAGGACACACAGCAATTTGGCTTTGGAGATGGTGAGACAGAATCTGGAATAATTTGGAGACAAAGACTCAGTGGCCATGGGGCTGGAAACCCCTCTTACTGGAAGCATGGAATGATGTCCCATTTGACGAATTTACTCATAATCTATTTATTCTTAATTTCTTAGTAGGAGGGCAGTCTTATGGGCCATTTGGAGGAGAAGATGTATCTACGAATGGGAAGGAGCCAGGATGGATGGCCCGGAATTCACCGAAACCATTAAAGAACAAATTCAGACAGGCATCCTGCATCAATGGGAACTCACAAAGGAGAAAATCCATTTTTTATCAAACAAAAAGGAAATTTCTCAGCAAATACAACAGTTCAATTTGGTCTGGCTTGGTGGGAAACGGGGGGGAAGGATTGGAAAGGTAGTGTGGGAAGGAGCTACTGAGGCGGAAGATGGGGTCATCAAAAAAAATTACAGGGTTGTGTTTAAAGACTGGTGTTCAATTGACTCCTCAATTCCCTTGAGACCCCTCTCAGATTTTCCTAACCCATTCCCACCCCCCCCCAATGTGGTTGTCCCCAATTCTTGGTTTGGAATGGGAGATGATATGTGAATAGGATAACTACTACTAGAGCGACCTACGCTGTGTTCTCACAGGGCAGATCAGCCTGATGGGCACAAGATAGGCAATACAAACACAGATCGAAGAAGAGTCACTGTTATCACCAAAGTCAGTAGTTTCTCATCAGTACCAGAGTTCAATCTGGCGCCACTATTGAGGGTGAAGAGATACAGGGGACGCTGGCCCCGGTTCCCAGCAAGTGTTCACTTTTTAATCTTTGTATTGCAACACTAGGGCCGTTGGACCCGTTTTCCAGCAGGTGCAGATCCCCACCAATAGACAGGAGCCCCCAGTGTGTCTGGTTGGAGTGTATGCTCCTGTCTCTTATACACATCTAGATGTGTATAAGAGACAGGGTTTAGACCGTCGTGAGACAGGTTAAAGGTTTCTTTTCTGCCTTCCTAGTGGACCGCACGTGCCCTGTCTCTTATACACATCTAGATGTGTATAAGAGACAGGTTTTACCCTACTGATGCACCGCCGTCGCAATGGTAATCCAACCCAGTACGAGAGGAACCGTTGGTTCGCACAATTSGCAATTGTSCTTGGCTGAAAARCCAGYGGTGMAAWGCTACCRTGCRTGGGATTATGACTGAACRCCTCTAAGTMAGAATMTRTGCTTGCAGCRACGGCGTATGCCTCCTCGGATGACACAAGGCTGTCGATAGGGCCAGCCSGTCTGGCCCCGAAAGCATAAGTTCGGAGTTGTCCCTCCTGCGGCGGAGCACCGACGCCCTGGGGGTCTCTTCATCGCAATTTCTTTCGCTCCGTCAACCCTTTGCAGACGACTTAGACAGGGAACGGGGTGTTGTAAGCAGTAGAGTGGCCTTGTCGTCACGATCTGTTGAGATTCGGCCCTTTGCTCCAATAAAAATAGAAAATAAAAAACCAGAATACTCCCTCCCTTGGAGGCGTGCCAGTCCCGCAAATGAATGGGCACGACGCGTGACCCCGTTCCCTGCCAAAATTTGTTCTCCCTGATGGCTGATTTCACACACCTAGTGGTTACCGCACCGCACGCTACGCTGCACCGTAACTCCTTTTTCAGTAGATTTTTAGTGCCCCCAGCGGGGAGTGGGCCGCGCCACGCTTCGCTGCAGTGCAATACGAAGGCGACGCTGGAAGGGTCGAGTAGGCAAGCCTACGCATATGACCCCTCCGTAGCCCTAAAAAATTAATTTAATGTCGTGTGGTCCGATGGACCACGGATCAGATATTAAACTGATCAGAACAGATACTACACTTGATCTTAGCCAAAAGGCCGAGAAAGGTATGCCGTTCAATATACAGGTTCCATATTTATACGAGGGAGCGACGACGAATGCCTGTTGCCAGTCGCCGAGACACTCAGGTAAAAGTTATGGGTTTTGACAGTTCACGGGCTATTGCCTGGCCGACCAGAGGATTTGTTTTGTAGTCAGGCCTTCTTGTGAGGGCGTTACTCACAGCAGAAAGGCTTTCTCTGCTGTCATCGGGTCTTGATTGCGTCCAGATGCAGCCAACCGGGGCCGTAATTGCGAGTGTGAGTCGGGCCTGAGCTGTGTACATTGCCAAGAATTTTGTAATTCTTTTGTTGTATTTGTATATCTTTATCCGAATGCCAGGCAATTTCCAGCTTCCGAAGGGGCAGGCTTTTGCACCTATTTACATGCCGGGGCCATGTCCCACTTGCGGGGGTTTAGTTTATATTTCGTGTATTTTTCAACGTGGTCACACTGTGGCCACGAGATTTTCAGATCGGATGGCAGGGAGCCATGCATACTCGAAACCAGAATTGAACCTCGACGACTGAGACACGGCCCCCCTGGACTGGAACCCCTTTTTTTTTTCCCCACCCCTTCTTTTTTCAAGAAGGGAGGCAGCCTTGATCTGACTGGCTTCAAGAAATTCAGAACTCTCCCCAGGGCAGTGCGCACTTTGACCAGTCACCCCCTTATGCCTGTATAGCAATCCTCACACAGAACTCTATAGATAGGGTCCGGTTACTCAGATGTTTTGCCCAGTCCAGGCTTGTCAGATAGTCTGGTACAGTAGGAGACAGGGGAAAGGTTGATGAGAAATAACAGACACAGGTAATGCTGACTGGGTTTGTAGTAAGGTAGAAAGAGGAGTAGGACCTTCAGTGAAAATTTTTCAGAAGTTCGGAAGTTAGATAATTGAGTTGAATAATTGAGTTGAAGGGTTTTCAATTCATAAGCTAAACCGGCTGATGCTGCCGGGATAACTCCGGGTTGAATTGTGAGGTCCCCGGCCTCCGATTACTCATTGATTGATAATAAAGAAGAGTACTTTAAAAAAAAAAAAAAAAAAAAAAAAAAATCGAGGGCTGTCAGAAAAAAAAAAAAAAAAAAAAAATCAGAACTATTTTATGGCATTCATAAAAGGGCTAGTTCAGATTGTAAGATTTGGCTCCAAGCAGCTTGGTGAAGAGGCCCAATCCACAATGACATTTACATTGTAATGGGACGCTGGACCCGTTTTCCAGCAGGTGCAGCTCCCCACCAAT